AGAAGGGAGCTGTATTTGTGTTACACGAGGCAGAAGAATCTTAAATATGTTCTTTTGCATTTTTTGCCTTTTTCTCCTTTCTGTGTGTTTTATCTTTACTCTTCTCAGACACAAAGCTTCATGTTCCCAAAAGAGTGTATCTGCAGACATGCAACGGCATTTTGTGAAATCTGTAAATTCTGTTTGTAGGGTACTGAGTTGTTTGCCCTTGGATGATGTTCTTTTGAACCTGAGCATGTTTCAGTGGCTCACAGGTCCCACATCTGTGCATCTAATAGTTGTGTACTTGTATCTCTCACCTGCTTTTGCTGTGCACCTTTGTGAGATGAGCTTGCTGGTTCCCACAGGATGCTGATCCCAGCTCTTTACAGCTTTATGTAAACACACCTTTGATTTACTAAGCTTTAAGTAAGTTAGGAATCTTTATATGTGTGTGCATGTCATCCCAGTGCAATATTGGCATATGCTGCTCTTTCAAATGAGTAAGGAAGAGGAGCAGAGCTGCGTTCAGTGGCAGCAGCAGAGACTGAGTTCTCTCTTAACTTTCATATGCTAGTCCCCATTCCTATCAACTTTTTAATACTCCAGATTTTCTACTCAGTGAAAGACTGATATTTTTTTTTCACTTGTCTGATAGTCCATAGAGAGACTTTTGAACTCTGATCCTTCAGCTTTTAGTTGTCTACTATATATCTCAGAATTAGTTCTGGATTTTCAGTCCCAAGGGACAATGTGCTCAATAAAAACTGAGCAAACTAGGTAATACTTTTTAAATTAATGGAGGAAGCAACAGTAAGCACAGTCCTGCCTGCTGTAAGCCCCGTGTCCTTGCTCACAGCTCCAGGTTCCCATGGTGTCCATAATTTCTAAGATCCTCAGGCAAAGCTTCCAGGCACATGTGTGACTCTCAGTACAGAGCAGTGTCTGGTCCTTTCCTTGGAGCATCTGACTGCAGAAAAAAGTCAGTCAGCTCTTTCCAAGGCTGTTCAGCAGCCCTGACATCACTTGAGAGCCATTGGCAGAAAGCAGAACCAAGCTGGTCTGATCCCTCTAGCAAATCCACCTGGTGATGAGCCAGTTGGAGGGAGGAAATAACAAAGTTGATTTAAAGCCATCTTCCTCTGCATTGTTCCTGCCCCTACATTCACATGAATTGGAAAATCTCACCTTTTTGTTGACAGTGAAATTGTTCCATCATGTAGGGATGAGGATCATTGTGTCATCTTGTCATTTTCTCCTGGATGCAGTAAAGGTGCCTGTGTTTTGCATCTAAGAGTCTCTTCCAGTGCCATCTACGAGCATTTGGCCGTACCAGTTCTGCTCATGCCAGCTCTCTGCAGATCCTGCTGAGAGCCTTTTCCTTTGGCAGTGATACAGCGCTGCCTTGGTCTTCCTTTGCAGCCTGATTAATACACGCTTTCCTCAAAATTAGGAATTCTGTTTGTTGTCTTCATTAACAGGCTAGGTGCAGAGTAATGTCACGTTCCTCACTGAGTTCAGAGGGAAATCAAACGCAGAGGATTGGGTTTTGCCACGCAATCTCCCTGAGAAACTGAATCTTAATGGTGTGAAAGTTCATCCTATTGCATTTGTGCTTATTGAAAGAATGTTTGTCTAATATTTATGTTTATTTCAGCAGGTGGTGGAAAGAAATACGGCTGGCCTAAAATTACTGTCATTTGTATAGCAGGTAGATGCAACTTGAGTACGTTTGACCTGGTGGAGGAATTCAGCAATCATTTCTGAGAATAGGAAGGAAATTATTATAGATTTAATAAATGAAAGTCCATCATAAATAAGATAAGGTAGCACAGCAATGATATCTTCTGGGCTTTACATGATGTTTAATTACTGGACAGCTGGAGGGATTAATGCTTATGCATTATGCCCTGGCTCTGAGAAATTAAACATGTACAGCTGCCACTTTATCACTGCTTAAAGTATTAGAGCTCCTTCAAAAGCAGTAGTAATTGGAGAAAAATCCCCGTTGCTACATAGGAAAAATCTCATCCCATAATCATATTTATCCTTAGTTCCTTCAAAACAAAATAGCAAGAAAAACGAGCTTGGCAGTTAGCTTTAATTGCATTCCTACAGAAACATGAAGGTACTCTCATTGTTAATGCATTGGGTGCTTGCTGTAATTAAATGGAAAATACTGCATCAGCTTGAGGTCAGGGGGAAGGCAGTCACTGCAGATGTCAGGAGTTAAACCCGAAAGCCACGGCCTGAGCTCTGCCAAGGCTCTGTCTGCAGAAGGGTTTCCTTTCCCCAGTGCTCTCTGTGAAGTTCAGGTATAAGGAATTACAGACCCGTTCTGCAGAAGGGTTCCCTAGTGTGGAGCGGTGCCTTCTCACCTCAGCAGGTGCTGTGGGGCAGCTTTGCAGGCTGCCTGTGCGCATCTGCACAGTGCTGATCCCTCGGCTTCAGCTGAACTGTCTGTACCAGTATGTTGAGTAACTGATCCTTCAGTACACGCAGGAATGGAGCACGGCCTAAAAAGAAGGCAGCTCCAAATGTGGTACTCCTACAATGTTTTCCTGGCAGGGTGCACCAGGAAGAAAGAGTGGATGCGAAGAGAACGCGCTGCAAGTGCTCTCACACACCCATTCCTGCAGATCCTAAATGATAATTTTTTTACAGGGTTGTGGAAGAGTGGCATGAAATAGCTATTTTAATTTAAACCTTTTTGCTTTATTGAAACCAAAGCATAGTGTTTCTGGACTGCATGCTACGCATGCATACACCAAAAAGCTGCTTTCCCATCTTGTGTGTCACGCTATCAAAGGAGCAGAGTTTGACTTGATGTTTGTCTTCTAGGCAGTCTGTCAACGTTTAGAGTTCTTGGAGCTGAAATAGCCAAGAAATTGCATTTTATTGCGAATACACTTGTATTTCACATCCCTAAAGTGCTTTTTTCATAAGAACAGAGCAGTAATTCTGAGTTTATCCATCTGAAAGGACAGAATCTGTTTAGATATGTTAATGGCACCGACAATTAAAGGAGATTTCCAACGATCGTGCTATGGTGGCAGATCCGTGGGTAGAAGTTCCATCCTTCAGTGGACGTGGGTACATATGCATTACACTAATTAAACAGAGCTTAACAGTTGCTCTTCCTGAGCATATGATTTTAATCATATGAATCAGAATGAGCTAGCTTGAACTCAGTGCAGTCCTACGCAGGAGAGGGTCGTGTAGTGTTTGATGGGGAGGAAGCTGTTTTGTGAGTCATGTTAACAGATGAAACAGCATCTAAAAATTATCTTTGTGGCTGAAACGCTGTATTCAAATAGGAAGATAAAGTGGTTGGATTAGTTTTACCTATATTTTGCAAATAAATTTGTTTCTTTGATAAAATATGACTTGGGAAGGTTTAGCTCTCAATGAAGTATACATATCTACACTCCTTTTTTCCCAGAAACTTAAAAATAAATGTTCATGCTGTACAATTGCTTTGTCTTCTCAGCCCAAATTCAGCCAAGTGCTGCCCTCCATTTCAAAGCAGGAGAAGTGGAAGGGCGAAACCTGATGTCCTAGAAGCCTCAGTACTATTAAATTGAGTGCAGATACCAGATGACCCTTACACTTTTAATTGCAGTGAGTGTCATTCAGTGCTTTAATATTCCATTTGAGTGGAAAATCTATGGCATTTTTTTCCAAATATGATTGCCTATTTATTTTTTTTTTGGTAGAATTATGGGTGCATTATTTGGGGTACATTGCTTACCTTGTATCATAACTGTGCCCCTAATGTCACGTAAGTAAGGATAATTAGGAGTTGGCTGTTTCCTAAAGAAGCTGTCAGTCTCTCTCCCTCCCAAATCTACCTTGTGGTCTTCATATGCCTGGTGTCTGCGGTCCATGCAGATATTCATAACCCTCAATCTGGCTGCACTGAATCCTGCTGTTTGTCTTGCTGTATCCTCTGTGCTTCTTCCTTAAAGTATTCATCCCTTCCTATCAGTGCCTTGCAAACTCTTTTATTTCAAAAGGATCTTTATGATTGCCATTGTGTTGGATCCCTGGTCCTGGAGAATTGTGAGAGACAGCTGGGTAAGCTGGGTGAGATGTTACAGAAGGGTTTGTGGTAACTCCTTGCCTCGTGTGTCCTCCAAAAGAGTTAATGGTGCTGTGTACTAAATGCAGTGAAAATTTGAGTTTAACAGTGAAGCAGACTTCAGTAAGAAGAAATATCTCTTTTTACAGAAAATTCCCATCAAGCAAACTAAATTAGTGGAAGTGGAGATTTAACAGGGCACTGACCTCATTGCTTGCAATGGGAGCACTGCTTTGCTCTGCTTTACTCATTCAAGTTAAATCCCATGAGCTCTCAGTTGCTGCAGCCAAAGGGATTCCCAAGCTGAAGGCAGGCTCTGTGCCCTACCTGCTCAGCCCAGTGGCTCAGGAACACACCCAGAGGGAGGCAATGTGGGTCTGGTTTTGACAGATAGGCCTGCACGTGGTAAAATCAGGCTGAGAAGATAGCCCACATTTCTGTGTTAGCAGGTGAGCACACAGTGAAAGTCTGCCCTGTGGACAGAAGGTGAAATCTATGGGAGCAGACTAATCCTGGGAAAGTATCTGTGATCTGAACCCAGCAATGGCAAAATTAGCTCCTGACTGCCCAGAAAGCTCTGCATGGGCAGCCATCCCACAGCCCACAGGGTCCTGCTGAATCCAGGAGGTCTGTATATGGAGTAATGTGGGTTTGGTTTGTGTTGGCACAGGCTTGAGGCTGTGGTAAGTGATGCTCTGTGCTGGTTACTGGAAGCAGTGCACTTACACCTTCCTCAGAAACAGGCAGCTGATGCTGTCAGAGCAGCTGCCAGATTCCGGGATGTCAGTGGGTGCTTCTGAGGAATTTGCCTGATTGGTGCAATTTGTAAAATTGCTGCTTTGGTAAGTTATGTCTGTGGAATAGTAGTGCTGATGTCCCATACAGGTTTCCAATTTTCAGTCAGAAAAAAAAACAAAACACCACTAAACACATGGCAGCATTTATTTTTTTCCATTTAAATTTGGCAAGTACAAAACATCTCCATTCAGATTCAGCTGACTGCATCTCAATCAGAATATAAAGGAGTAATGATAGGTCTTTATCCTCACAAGATCCCTGTGGGGTGGCTGTGATTTGAGCAAAGGTTACCTTTGCTCAATACCTTTGGTATTCTGACCATCCCTTTTTTTCCCTAAGCGGTTTTATTTTGCCCCTAAATCCTCTACACCAGACTCTTACTGGTGATGTCACTTCTTACTGTGATGTCATTTAACCAGAAAAACCTGTGATAAACTTCCTCGCGCTTTCCCAGTAGGGAGTGAAATTGAGGAGACTGAAGGAATGAGTTCTGCAGCCTCGTTGCACCCAAATGACATTGTAAATGGGGGAAGTTCAGAGCATGCAAATCTTTTTTACATAAGCTGCTTCTATTCATAAATTATGAACTCATAATTAATTCTACTTTCAGAAAAGCACTTTGAATGAAGATACGATTGTCCAGAAATATATATTCTGTAACAGTAAATACATTTCTGAACCACTGGTTATGTGTCAGCAGGAGCTTTGGCATTTGGCTGCTCCCTTGTAATGAAGCAATACTACACAAATACCATCATGGTGAAGGGGAAAATAACTCCTTGGTGTTTGAGGGGAGCAGTGTGGCGAAGGCAGCGAGTGCATGCAAATCTTAATTTGCAGGAGTGCATGAAATGGCTCCTTAGCTCCATTAGTGATTTGAACAATATCAGGAATTACTTATTCCTTCTGCAGCCTTCATCTATATGGGCTTTTCGGTATCAATCACCATAGCAACAACCACCGTTAGCAGTGAGACTGCAATTCAGCCGCATTATTCCCTCCATGGGAGGCCTGTCAGCTCTTCCAGCAATGTGCTTCAAGGTCGTCTTCATTTACCTCTGTCTGTCCCTGCCCTTCCTGGAGGGCAGCTTTCCGTGGGAAACTTGGCCTTCCAGGGATGAACCCGTGCTTTAAAGGCTGACGTTTGACCAGAGATCTGTGTCAGATATTCAGGTGCTCGGTAACCGCACCGATTTCAGCAGACAAAGCAAGCAATATAGGTACAGGGAAGCTTGGAAATAAATCCTAGTTCAGTCAAACTAACGCACTGACAGCGTTGGTAGCTGGGCTGAGAGTTCCAACTTAATTCAGTCTGGGCTCCGTGACCTCCTTATCTCAGTCCTGCTTGGAGATTAATGTATGTGGGCTGTGGCGGCAGGATTAGCTCTTTATGCACAGTACCTGGGCACGTGGAGCTCAGGCACTGCGCTGCCGCAGCCGTGTGGATGGAGCTCACTTCTAAACCTCACAGCTTAAGGCTTTCCAAGTCCACAGCCTCTCTGGCCAGTGTTCAAGTTGTGATAAATCAGCAGCAGATCTCTCTTTCCCCACTGCGAATGTTAGTGTGTGCAAATCACCCCTTGCCTTCCTGAGAAAATCCGCTGTTGGATTTAAGCAAACAAGAACTGTGTTTCTTTTTGGTTGCCTCAGGAAGGGTGTGGGAAAGCTGCAGTGCCACCATCTGTCTTATTTTCTTCTCTTTGGTGTCAGTAATTGCTGTCATCCGCTTTGCCACAAACTTTACCAAATAGTTCTATTTCTCCAAGTCGTGTATAATTTCAAGAGGAGCTAAGTTGCTTTTTTTTTGACAAAAAAAAAGTGTATTAAAATATCAAATTCTTACTGAAAAGCTTCAAATCCTTAATTTAAGCTAGCAGCGGAAGCAGTCCATTGTACACCATTCCCAGCTCCTACTAATGATGGATATCCTGCTTATGTCACACATGGAGTTTTATCCAGATTTGAGGATCCGCTTTGTAGAATTACAGAGATATATTTGAAATTACAGTTCTTAAAGTGTGCCCTGTGTCTTTACAGCATTTTGCTTTTCTTTATAAGCACTTTAAAAGCTTCTGGTAGAGTTATCTCCGTTTTTTGGTGAGCTAGGATTGTCGCTGCTGTACTGGAGCGCTCATTAAAGCCTCTGCTTAAATCCTGGCTCAGGGCAGAGAAACAGAACCAAAACACAACTGCACAACCACAGCCTCTTTTCTTCCTCCACCCAAAGGCTGCTGCTGCTCCACTCTCCAGGAGATGTGACAGGGCTGCAGCTGGGGGCTGCCCAGCAAAAGCTGTGCCAGTTGCACTATAGCACAGGGCAGCAACTAATGCAGAGTACCTCTGCTATACGTTCTCTATAAGCCAAAGCAAGTGTGCATTCATTGAGATGTGATGTTTTCTTCCTAAATCACCTGAAGAATCTTAATGGATTGTTGTACCCTACAAAATGGCTTTTGTAATTATGCTTATTTACTGCTTTGAAGCCAGTGAGTTAAACTCTTCTTCTTGCCAAACGTTTCTAGTATTTCTACTGGGATCACTTCATACTTGAAGGAGACTTTGCATCTGAGGGTATGACATTTATTAATTTCTTTGGCAGTGAGGAAGGCTAATATTTGTATCCTCTGTTTCATACAGACATACTCTTAATAGGACAGGTAGCAGAACCAGAGAATATAAGCAAATTGCTCACGTCAAAGAAAAGATACCCTGGTGCTCATTTAATTATTATTCAAGACATTTCTATCAAAATGCTCTGGAGGCAGTGAAATGCTGTAGTGATGGGACTGCCCCAGTACCTTGACAGATTTATGAAAGGAGATGTGAAGCAAGCTGTCCCTGGGACTTTACTTCCCCCATCCTCATCTCTCCAGCTGCCTATGTAAGGTAATTTTAGCACTGCTTTTTATTAGGTTCTTCAGACGGTGCAGAGGAGGTCCCAAGGAAAATGTTGGCTCTTGCATCGGTGTGCAGGGATTGTAAGCAGCTTTCCTCTTCTGCTGCCCATTTGAGCAAGTCCCCAAGTGCCTGGAAGCTGCAGACTTTGCTTTATCCTTGCATGCCCTGTGGATTTTAGCTGTCAGAGAAGACAGCAAAAGGGTGAGTGGAACTGGGACAGAATCTGCCTTCCTATGGCTCACAGGAGAGCCAGCTGGGACAGAGGTCTGTGCTCCAGGCACTTGTGAGGCAATTGGCTTGAAGACCATTAGGTCTGTAAGAGAAGGAGAAGGCATTTGTATTTCTTGAGTTAACCAGGAGGTGCCTGGAACAGCCTTCTGTAGTGCTTTGGGAAGACACAGAGCTCCCCCACAGTGAGACATGGAAGTGGAGCCCTACAAGGTTGGGAAGGGGGAAAGCAGCAGCAGCAATGGGCTGTGCTTCATCCTTGGAGACAGAAATGTCTCTAGTGCTGTCAGCTCACCAAATTTAATTTTTTAGAAGAAATAAAATAAGCATGGCAATGCAGTTAATTCTAGCTAGAGATTCACCAACTTCACTGAAAAGTCTCCTCATGAGAGGTTACAAAAGGTGAATTGCTTCTATTTTTTTTCTGGCTGTGATTGTCAGTAGTTTTACACCAGCAGTGGGATTTGTAGGTGCAGAGGAGGAGCTTTTGTGCAGACTTCCATTGTGTGAATCCCACACAGAGGTTTACCCATCTCTTTCCAGAGGGAAACGCATGCAGGCAGAAGGAATGCTGGAGGTGGGAGCAGGAAAGCAACACAGGAAAAGGGATGGTGAGAAGGGAAATTAATGCATATTTGGAGCGTGCAAATCCTTATAACCTTGCCCAAAAATTGGGGATCAAAGGACTGTGGAAAATTTTGCTTACAGTGTTTCTGAGATTGATCAAAATAATGCCAGAAAAGCAGTTTCTACTTCCCAGCCTTCATCTATTAGAGTAACTGTGCATAGACTTAGAAATATTCCCATCCATCACCTCCTTCTTCAAATAGGTTACTAAAATCTTAACTCTTACCTCAGTTTTCCATTTGGTAGCTCCATCTTATTCATCACTTGAAGAAATCATACAGCCACGTGCTGATCAGTAGGATTAGCAGCTCGTTTTATTTCTGGTTATGGGATAAGGATAGAAAAGTATGCTGAGTGAAGAAAATCAGCTGAAATTACGGGTAGGCTGCAGCATTTTAGTCTCACTTCTGACACGTGGAAGGGTTTTTTAGATGCTTCTCCATCAGGCTGATTGTGTTTTGGGTCCTTGTGAGAGGGATGCATCTCCTAATGTTAGATGTCTGATCTCAGTTCCTCACTGCCTGGAGAAGGAGACAGGTTAGCCCCTCTCTGTGCCCAAAAATACCCACACTCCCACTTCTCTAGGATGTCCTGCCTGCACCAGGCAGAACTTGGATGCTCCTTTGCTGACCACACACCACTGCATTGTATGTCGTTACTGATGGAAAGCTGGGCACTCAGCAGAGCACAGCTGAGATTCTCTTTAACATTTATCCCTGTTGGATGGAGATCGGGCTTGGAGTTACTGAAGGCAAAAAGGCTCCTAAGTGCAATTAGAGGAAGTATTTGATTTATTGTAATTTATTTATATATATTTATTGTAATTTATAAAATGCATAACTTTTTTATACGTGCCCGGAAGGGTAGAGGCAGACATATATTCAATTTTTTTTTAAATAACTGACGAAATTAGCTTTGATTAAAAGCACTTGGAGCAAATTTATTTCAGAGTCTTGGTTCCCCCATAACTTGATGAGACAAAGTGGCTGCCAAGTGCACGTTGTTGGAGTACCTGAAATCTTAATTTTAGTAGGCTCCTCTGGTGCAGCTGTCCATCAGGCTTGCAAGCAAGAGTACACCACTCAGCTTCAGATCTGACAAATGTCTCATTTGTGTGTTAATGTTGAGTTGTGATTTCCAGGGAAGGCTTTCAGTGTGCTGTAAAGGGCCTTGCTGGCAGATTGCAGCTAAATTGATGCTCGCCTCACTAAATATTTACCCTACACATCCCACTTAATATGTCCAAAACCAGGCACACTGTGAAATCCTCAAACCTGATTCTGTGCCTGTGAAAGCCAGGAAGCTGCTAATGTCAGCATGGAGCAAAGCTCAGCTCTGTGTGAGCCCTCAGCACCCACCACTGCTCCTCCAGCCCTCCCTGTGTCTCCTTATACAAAAGGACAGGGCGGTGCTGCACTTGTGCCCCATTTTACCAGCTGCCCATTCTCCTGCAGGGCTGCCCGTGGCCCAGAGGGGTGATGGGAGAGCCTGAGCTGGGCTCCCAGCTTGGGTCAGCACACCCTGGGGGCAGGATGTGCACCGTATCACAGCTGCGGAGAAGCCCCATGCGTCTTCACCTGTTCCTTGCTATGTAGTTTACCACTGGGAAAGCAGTTTGGGGTTAGGACAGCCAAGGTAATACATTTATGCCCTCTCTCCCTCCCCTTACTCAGATACATGTGATGTGCTAAAGCCAGTGTAGTGGCAGGGGGTAGATAGGGGACCTCGCAGCTCACCTGTTTTGGTTTTTTTTCCCAAGCTTGTTCTCCTGATGAGTTCCAGTGCAGTAACAAGACGTGCATCTCCATCAGCTTCGTGTGTGATGGTTACAACAACTGTGGTGATGGCAGCGATGAAAGGAAATGCTCCCCTCTGACCTGCAGCCCCAATGAGTTCCAGTGCAACAACAGCGTGTGCATCCCAGAGCTGTGGGTCTGTGACAACCAGGCAGACTGTGAGGACCATTCAGATGAGTCTGTAGAGAGGTGTGGCTACGATGCCAAGGCCTTCAACACCTGTGCTGCTCACGAGTTCCAGTGTGGCAATGGCGAATGCATCCTCCTTAACTGGAAGTGTGATGGGGACGAAGACTGCAAGGACAAGTCTGATGAGCAGGACTGCCGTGAGTGTGGGCAGGGCTGGAGATTCTCCTTTGGTGGGGAGGGCAGCCCCTCTGGGTTGTGTTTTCAGGCAGGGTTTTGTTGCAAGTTGTCTGTGCAGCACCTGTCTGCCAAGGAGCATTTGTGCCCCAAGGCATGGCCGGGTGCTCAGCCCAGCAGCATTAGGTGTATTCCAGACTCCTATTTTGTCGTTCTGTCAGGATTCACAGAGGGGCTGCAAGAACTGTTGAATGGGACCATGCCTCAGAGAAGGTCTGTTTCACTAGAAATGGAGAAAACGGGAAACTTTTTAAAGCCCTCAGGCTGCACGGTGGGGTCACAGCCTGCAGGTTAGAAGCCTCAGTGCTAAAGGGAATATGTGATCAGCAGAAAAAAAAATAATTAATTTTCTACCTCTGAAGTTTGAGTATACCAAGCAAGGCAGCACCTTTGAATAATCCAGTTTGAAATGCACTTTGAGCTTGGCTCAGTTACAGACGAGAGCTAATACATAATGGATTTCTTTTCAGCTGGCTTGATGCATTTAACATGGTGTTGTTGGTGTGCACAGTATTTTGAAGGCTTCATCCAACTTTAGCCACTAACCTGTTCAAGCTGGTCACTTATCTGAGGAGGGAGATGGCAAGAAAACAAGAGCAAAATGTTTTGCTAAAATATTCATAATCACAAGACAGGAATAAAATAAAATATTTATACAGCTACATATATTTAGCAGCTCTGACCTCTGGGAAGAAGGCAGCAAGCAGCTGCAGAAAGCAGTCATTTTTACAAAGGTATGTGTGAAAATGTCCAACTTCTCCAGCACCATCTTTCCACAACCAGCACAGCACTGAGTCTCAGCTGGTGACCTTAGAGCAGCTTGCATGGAAGAGCCCTTCAAGGAGAGGAACAATCAGATGCTGTTTGGGGCAGACATGCAAATTTGATGATTCCTTTAGCAAGAGGAGGCAGTAAGGCCCGACAAACTTCAGCAGGTGCCCAGCTGAGCTGGTTCTGATGAGACCAGGGACCCAGGAGGAGCAGCAGAGCAGTGACAGCAGCCCTGTTACAGAGCAGCTTCACCAAGTAAAACCTCCACTTTCCCCAGGGCAGCCTTTGTGGGGCAGAGGACACAGCCAGACAAGGCTGCAGCACAGCACAGTGCTGACAGCCAGTGGAGGAAAGAGGAAACGTGGCTGAGGAGAGAAGAAATCTTGAGACCATTATATCCCTGACTAGAGGATTCAGTGCCTGGGGGCACTGCTAACTCTCAGTACACACACATTATACAGCTTATCTACCCAGGAGGAACACACATGTGCTGCTTCTGCTGCTCTCAATCTAGGAAGCCAAGAAATGGTGGGACTCCAGAGCCCCACGTTTTAGTTCCTGACATACTCCTTTGTACAGGCTTGTCTACTTTGCACCTGTGTAAGTTTGGGATTTTGTGCCACTGAGCTGCACGGCCCTGTCACTGCTGACACTGCAGGCAGGGGATCTCTGGGTCAGCAGCCAGCAGAGAACCCATGGCACTGAATGCAAATGAGTCCACTGGGTCAGAGGCAAAAGTGATGTTGCTTCCCCATCCTAACCAAAGCTGTAGCTTGGGTGCACACGCCTGGGGTAAGAAAATGGTATTTGAGTGCGTCTCTGTTCCCTTGTTGGACTGAAGAGTTTAGGGATTGTCCTTTATTATAATTTTTTTTTCTCACCTCCAGAACCTCTTTTTTGAGATCAGCACTGCGTGGTGTGCAGGGAGTTACAGCTGTGTGACAACTCCATTCCCTTCACAACAGCAACGGCACAAACTGCTGGCTTTGACTTGATCAGAACTGAGGACGCCAGCACTGTGCCTTCCCTCTTAGGGTTTTTGCATTGTATAAAACACAAAGATGGGAGTTAATGCTTTAAAAAAAAAAGTCATGAGGCCATCACCGGATATTTGTTATAATTATTTTGTGGTGATAAACGAGTAGAGCAGGAATGAAGGGTGACAGCTGGTGAACAGGTTTTGGCAGCGAAGCCAGCAAATAAATAGGAAGGAAGAAGTCATTTCAGGGAAGCTGTGTGAGCACATTGGATGGTTGCTTTTTCCCTAGTATGTATGTGTAAATATATGTGTGAATATTTGCACATGTATGTAAAATGGGCATTAGGTTAGATTTATTACTCTCCAAATGGTTGGATTTTAAAACATCCTCTGCAACCCAGGAGGGAGGATAAATAATGCCAGTACCTGACAGCCAGAAAACAGATCTCTGACCTCGCACTTTCCTATGTTTCCCTGTCAGTAAAATGGAACTAATGTGTTTTGCAAATGCTGGAGTTTTCTTGAGCTTCGGTTGACCTTCTGGGGGGTAAAGAAGCAAAAGACAGAAGAAACAGAGGCTCAGACTTAGAATCTGGAACATAACTCCTGAATTTGAGCAGTACAGCTTTGTGCCCCATATTTGCAAATGAAGTGTGTCTGCTTGAGTGTGCCAGTTAATTTAAAAGAGCTTTGGTAAACTGTTCCATGTTTTAATTTGCAGAGCTGCAAAGGTGACTATAGAACTGAAATGTCACTGATTTAAACCCCCTAAAATAGAAAATAGCACAGAGGTTTTCGGAACAACTTGTGGAAAATGAACTGTGCAGCTCATGTCTGTGCTTGGGACACTGCTCTGCTTTGGGCAGTGGTGGCCTGCTGTCAGCTGTGCTCATGATGCTGAGATGGGTTTGTCTCCCAGCTTCAGGACAGTAAGGTTCCTGGCCCTCTCCCCTCATGTGTGTGCTCTCCAAGCTGAGTATAATCATCACAGTCTCCCTTCTCCTGTTGAGAAATTCACCAAAGTATAGAAATGCTGTATATTCATTTTGATACCTTTGTGATGAGGAAGAGCTGTCACTGTATCTGCTCTTTTTGGATGTTCATTAAGAGGCTCAAGGGCCATTTCTCAAAGGTCTGAACTTCCACAGCTCTGCTGGAATGAGAAACAAGCCAGGAAACGAAGCCTGGTCTCCAGTCCTCTGACTTTTCATGAAGAAAGAGGTTTGTGCAGATGCTGTACAGTCCCACATCTGTGTTTTGCAGTCCCTCTACCACCTGAGCCTTTCCAATCTGCAGCCATTGCCTTGCAGATTTACTTCGTAAACTGGAAACTTGCTTCTGCCCTAGGACAGACCAGGCTCTGGTAGCTTTAGTTGCATGTAGCAAGTTTGCAGAAAACTAACGCCTGTTGTCAGAAACAGAGGACCATCCCATCCTGTCTCCACAGAACAGAAGTTGCTACAGAAAGGGTGAACTTTTCTATGTTGGGAGGTGAAGATCAGAAATAACAGTAGCTAGGAAATGTGAGGCGAGGCGTTAGGGAAAGGATTGCAGCAGCCGAGGTTTAGCTTGGAAGAAGCTGGGATTGCATTACAGGGAAAGTGGTCTCTCCACCATCAGGGTTTCTGCCAGGGAAATGAATGGTTCAGACAGAAGTGCCTCAGCCTCATTGCAGCACCTGACTGCCACCTCCAGAGCTGAGGTCTGTGGTTCTCCCAGACCAGTTTCACCTCCCCTTCTCCTTCATTAGAGAAGCAGTTCCCAGGTGCTTGGCTTGGAGCTGCTGGATATCGTGCTGAGGTTTTACATTTCTGTATCTGGGTTTGTTAGCAGAAACACTGTGACACAGCTGGTCCCATAACTGCTCTTATTGCATGCAATTTTATTCTTGCTTTGCAGCTCTTTCCGACTGTAGTCCACATGGCTTTCCCTTCCACGGAGCAGTGCTATTTCCTAACCTTTCTCCTGTGAATACTGTGCCTTTCTAAGGCAGGATTTCCCCCTTCCCACAGCAGCACTGCAGTTGCAGCTCTTCCTGTCTTTCACACCCTCCAATGGCTGCAGGCACCTAGGGCTTAGTCCAGCAGTTGTGAATCTGGATCCTGCATCCCATGGGATGCTTTCATCAATAACGCTGAGCCTTCAGGCATACTAATACTTCATGATATTGACACTAACCCAGTTTGTATCTGTGGCTCTTCTTGGGTTATCTGAAAGTAGTAATTTCTTTATTAGAACCAGTTTGTCAAATTGTCAAGGAAAATCTGCCACGTGGCTCTCGCCTCCCATGTAGTAACATCAGTGCTGACGTCCTCCAGCTATTCAGAGGCACTGATTTTCTGTCATATGGTACCAGGCTGCAATCAGCAAGATGGAAAGGTTAGAATCAAGAGCTCTCCAGGGTGTGCTGCCTTAACAGGATTTTAACAAAACATCTGGAAGATAGTTCCCTTAGAAATAAGCCACATAACGTGCCTCAGGAATGAGGAGCCTATTTTTACCAGTGAGCTGCAGGCTGCAGCCCTTTGCTGGCTAGCCAGTGCCTGTTGGCTCTGTCAGTGCAAGTCAGATCCCATCTGGGAAGGTCTCAGTGTAAACTTGAGGAGGGAAACGTGGCTGTTTTTGGCGTGATCAGAACAGCAGTCTGATCTATTTTTTCCCCAACTTTGCTATTCATCAGATCTGTGTTCAGTCTGTAATAACAGCAACAGGGCAAATGAGCATCAGGCTTGAAATCTGACCTGACACCATGGAGATGTTTCTGGCCTGTAAACCCAAGAAGCACCAAGCCATGGGGCAGTGGAGCTCTTGTGCCTTCCAGGCTCTGTGGTTAGCTCACAGGCATTCACTGACCCAGATGACCATGTCTGTGTCTCACTTCATCCCTGGTGTGACCATACTGGCTGTAGCAGATGCAGCATACATGCATCTTGCCTCTGACCTTAGGCTGAACATGCTTCAAAATGTATCTTAAAATACAAGGATGGTAGAGGGTGGTCAGGAATGTCGGGGAGCACAGGGCGGTGCCTGAGGTAGCTGCTGCCTGTTGCTTTGGTGGAAGCAGTTGATCCTTCTGAAGGAGGGCACGTAGCACCCGCAGTGTCAGACAAAAAGCAGCACACAGAAAGTTCAGGTGCTGTGTGGATGACGCTTACGTGTGTTCTTTTAAAGCTCTGGTGACCTGCAGACCGGATGAATTTCAGTGCGGGGATGGGACCTGCATCCATGGAGCAAAGCAGTGTGACAGAGTGCACGACTGTCCTGACAACAGTGACGAGGCAGGCTGTGTCCAAGGTATGTACAAAACAGCACTGCGTTCCTTGTGCTCGGTTTTATAAAACTGCAAGAGAGCTGCAGAAGGAGGAGGCCTGCACTGCTCCTCTGTGCCACAACAGGCTGCTTCCTGCAGAGAGCTGCAAGCCGTTCTGGCAGTGGGGTTGCTTGGGAGAGATGGCTGTGCTGACCAGGCAGACTGCACGCCTTGAAAAGTTCCTCGCATCATACTCAGTCTTTTGCTTAATCTCATCCCATTTCTGCTAATGACACCTTCTTGAAGCTCTGTGTCAGGCTTTTTGTTGTCTTGAGCCTTACCTAACTTAGTTGCTTTCCTCTCTTGCCCGACATGACAGAGTCAGCATGTGAAAGTCCCAGCAAGTTTCAGTGTAAGAGTGGAGAGTGCATTGACGGAGGCAAAGTGTGCGATTCACATAGAGACTGCAGGGACTGGTCTGACGAGCCTCTGAAAGAATGTGGTACAGTACTTGCCTTCTACGTGTTGCTCTTGTTGTAACTGCTTCCCCTCTCCTCCATCTGGTGCTCACAGCTTTGAGTGTAACCACATGTAGCTGCTAATGCTATTTCTCACTCTGCTTCCCTTTCCTTGCCTTTATTCTCTCTTCACCCTTCACATGAATATAATTAGTAGCCCAGTCTGATCATCTGCCACTGTGAACTGTGCCCTTCTCAGTTCAACTTTTGATCTTGGAGGGATGTTTGAGCTGAGCACAGGACTAGCAACCAGGAATTCCCCCTCTTCTCAGACACTGGGGTCTTCCACAGCATCGACCAGTTTATTTGGCCTTGCTGCCAAAAATTACCTGTGAATTACTGAAAGATGAGCAAAACCATTGTAAAGGTTTAGCATTGATAACATCTTTGAAGGTGAAAGCATGCAGTGAGTGGCAGCATCCACTAAGCAATGATTTCAGCCACTGGGTTTGTTGCTGTGTCCTGTAGAAATGACAACAAGCTGCTCTCTGCAGCATCCTGCTGGCTGTGGGCTGCTGAGAACAGCCAGGCCATGAGAGCCCGGTCTGCTCCTGGGCTGTGGGAGTCAGCAGAACAGAAAGCTGCAGGCTGGGGAGCTGAGCCTCTCTGTCCTTTTCTTACCAGGCATAGCAGGTGCCAACCCCAACCTAGAGCACCACTGCCACACCATTGGTTCTTCCCCAGGGGCAGAAATGCCTCAGACAGGCTGCTGTGCTGTCCCTTTCCATGACTTCATGGAGCACCAGTAGCATGGAGCTATGTGCCTGCAACTTAAATATCTCCTGTTCAGGGAGAGTTGTTGGCTTCTCTGTGCTGGACAAAAAGTGTGTGAGTTCCCAGAAAGGATGCTCTTACCCTGTGCTTTCAGAACATCCTTGCTTTCTTCTGCACTAATCCACATCTCCCTGTCTTTCTGAGTGGGTGTTGCAACTTGTCTGCCTGTGAAAGGTCTCAAAGCCAGCAGCCCAGTTGGCTGAGGAGACTGGGCTCAGCCTTAACATGGTGCTGTGACTGCCTCGTTGTGGTCCTCGGCTGGCAGCTGAGTGCCATTTGAGTTAGGAAGCTGTGCAGAGAATAGACTCCAAAGGAGACGTGCTTCTTTAAGACTGCAGAATGATGTAGATTGTTGTGAATTTTGACATGCAGCCACAGGTAATCTGCACAGCAGCCCAGGAGATGCGGGGTGTTCTCCTCAGCATGGTGTCTGTACAGCTGCGTGCTCGCCTTTGCAGTGCCCTCCATGGTTCCCCAGAAAAGCACTGAAGAGGCAGAGCATCGCTTATCTCACTTTAAGCAGGCAGTGAATATGATGCTGAAGTTTGGGTAATGGGCAGCAGCTGTCCAGCAGAAAGAGAGCAGGCTGCTATCTCTGCCTTTCCTCCTCAGCTCCTGTTGAGAAGTGCAGCAGGTGAGCCAACACCTGATTTACAATCTCCAAAATCATTCCACAAAGCCTCTGAAAGCAGAGGAAACATTTGCATGAGAGCTTACTTGTCAGTTGAAACAGTCTTTGTTGTGTTTTGCAAAGAGCAGTTGTGCATGGATATGATGCAGTTTCCTAGAGGCCTGTGCAAGTGCAGGAATAGGTGATATTCATTAATAAACAACACTGAACAGTGCCAGCACACACTGTGACTTTGTGGACCCTTTCTTGGAACCCAGTGAACTTGCTCTGTTAATAACTTATTGATACCTGTGTATGTATGTGTCTCTGATAGGAAGGTGAAGCCATCCCAGAGCTGGGATGGGGTTCTCTGACATGATATCTTCTCAGCTACTGACTTCAATTGGCCTGTGGTTGTTTTCGTTTTCTTTCAAGAGCAATGGTTTAATGGCTGTGCTGCACTGCTCACCTGTGTCATACAAGGAAGCAAGAAGTAAAAGATAAATGAAAATTTTGCCTTTAAATTGCATTAAGAAATGAAGTAAATCAGCTTTGCTTGTTCCACTGAACCTGCTATCCCTGAAATCCCACAGCTTCTGTACAGCAGCCTTAAGGAGAAAACTTTCTCTTCACCTTCTAAAGGTTAATTACAACAAGAAGAAATGTTATTTCTGACAGGAAATCAGCTTTCTTGAATCTCTCATTTAATTCTAGTTAAAAAGACACATTTAGTCTATTTTTCATTTCAGCTCTTGAAGGCAGGATCAGCCTTGGATTAGGCAGGAGCCCAGGAGGGGATGGGGGCTGGTTTTCCATGATTGCACACTTGGGCTGCTGCTGCAATTCAGGCGTTGCTGGAATTGTCACTCAGATCCTTCCTTGGTGCTGGATGGGGAAACAGTACAGTAGTTCAAAACAGCTGGCCTCTGGGAGATGAGACTCCCCTAGCATGAATTATCAAAGCTCAAAAAGACTGTTCAGAAAAGTCAGCATTAACCAGTGCATGGGGAAGGAGTCATCTCCTGGAGAGCACCCTTAGCTCCCTTGGAAGTGCCTCACAGCTGGCAGAACATGCTCGAAGCAGTGGGATTCTGATGGATGAGATGCAGAGATGCACAGATGCTGTGTCCCCAGGGCTCCCTCTTCATTTGGCCATTAGCTTTCAGTCCAACTGATCATTACAGTGTTGGTTTGGAATAATAAAGAGCAAGGAAGAGATACAGTGATGGCTTCCTTTCTCTGAAGTCACTCATATGCTCAATGTGACCAACACCTGGCTACCAGAAGCTGGCAGCTATGGGAAAATGTGCGTTTGACCTTTCTTAATTTTATTCAAACTTACAACTGGAACCCCTCCTTTCCCATAGATAACCTGTCTGCCTCTTCCAGGTATTAACGAATGCTCTGTGAACAATGGTGGTTGCTCACACATATGCAAAGACTTGAAGATAGGCTACGAATGTGAATGCCCGCCCGGATACAAGCTTCTGGATAAAAAGACGTGTGGAGGTAATTTACATGCAAACAGCAGTCCCTTGTGTGTCACCATACAGAGACATGCTTATATGCTCTTCAGCATTGCTCCATCACAGATGGTTTGATTTCAAGTTATTGATGGGTTTCAAACACTCCTTTCAGACATAGATGAATGTGAGAATCCAGACGCTTGTAGCCAGATCTGCATTAATTACAAGGGGGACTACAAATGTGAGTGCTACGAGGGATACGAGATGGACACCCTGTCCAAGAACTGCAAGGCTGTAGGTAAGGCAGCCCGACAGGCTCTTAAACTCTGACTGCTCAACATCACAACTCTGATAAGAAAACACACTTGCAGGGCTGAGCCTAGGGGAACAGAGGCAAAAGTTAACTAGCAAGCACAGGCATTAATTTCAAGCAGCACGGAACTGCTGCAGTGATAGCAGATGTGTCTCTAGGCAAGAACTACTGAGAGTGCAGATCAGAATATTTTAACCATGTGCAGAGCAAGATTACGATCACTAGTTGGCTGTTTGAAGCTGAAACTCGAAAAGAAAGCCTCTTGACAGGTTTCACTAAAAACAGCACAGAAAAAAATATTTACTGGTAGTCATGTTAAAAGAAAACAACCCAATTAAAACGTGGTAGGTTATCACCTCTCCACCTACCCAGCCTCATACACAAATACCAACGTGAGCACCAGCAGCTTGCTTGGGCTTATTGCACAAATGAACATTAATGTCAGGGATTGCAGACTTTCTGAAAGGCTGTGGCCTGGGCTGGCCTGAGAACATGACTGCTGTTACAGTTTGACCAGCACTCAGGCTGCAGACTCTAGCCCACAAAGAAGAGATGTGAGATGTATTATATAAGCCCAAGTGCTTGGTTGGGTGATGCAAGGTCAGCACGTATGTGACAGCCTAAAATAGAATTAAATGTCCTTCTAGCAATGAGATCCTGGCTTTGCTGGATTCAGTGTGGCCTTGGTCTGGCTGCCTGCCTTCCCTCCAGCCAGCCTGGAAGGCTTTCTCTCTTCCTTGTCCTGACCATGAATCACCGAAACTGAGCCCCTGTATTTTGTATCTAAAATGTATAATGGAATGTGGGGACGTTCCCCAGAGGCTGGGTGACAGGGTGCTGTGCCCTGTGTCTGTATGTGTTAACTGTCTATGTTGGGCCAGAAGCCACTTAGACCTGCTGCTGGCACAAAGCAGATCGGTGACTTATTGCTCTTCACTTTGTTGTTGTTTGAGGAAATGATGTATCCAGCCTTTAGGCCAGCTGCTGTAACAACAAATGCACTTCTTTCTGTGTCAGGAAAGAGTCCCTACCTCATCTTCACCAACCGCCACGAGGTCCGTAAGATAGACCTGGTGAAAAGGGACTACTCTCGCATCATTCCCATGCTGAAAAATGTTGTGGCACTGGATGTGGAGGTGGCAACAAACAGAATATATTGGTGTGATTTGTTCTATCGAAAAATCTACAGGTAAGGGCTAAGAGAAAGAGTGTGTTTTGGTACCTTTCTAAAGCTGTGCTTCAGTCTGTAAGGACGATATGCAGAGAACAATGCAGTGAACCTGGGGATTTTCTTCCCTTACTGCATTACCTGTTGTGGCCCAGACTTTGTAAGCTTTTCAGGATTTGATAAAGAAATCAGGGCTTGTGCAGTTACTTGGCTTGAAAACGCAGGAAGGCTTTTCAGGAGCAATAGATCCCACTGCATTTGTGCAATTACACGTGGACTCGTTTACTTAATGATCTTACTGCCAAGTGAGGCTGCTGTGCTGTGTGCTTCATGTACATGAAACCAAAAGGACTTGGCATCTGAAGGCACAGAGGCAAGTGGTGAAAGCAGGATACTGGTTGACCACTGGCAGCTCTGCTAGAGTAGATGAAAATCCACAGCACTTGATCACAGACTACATCTCATATCCTGTAATTTGTTTCCTTTTTTTTTTTTCCAGCTGTTTTTGTACATTCATTACCATTATGATGTACTGGAGCTTGTGAGGGTGTCTAGTCAAAAACGCATTTAATTTATGCACTGAAAATTCCCCATGTATATTCTGATTTGCATAGCTATTGCACCCTATTGCAGTTTCAGCAGCAATTTGTTTTAGATTTTAGCTAATGATCAGACAAAAAGGTTGATTAGTTTCAGTGCATAGGAGCCAAGCTGAGGTTTTTGCAGGCTGTGCTAGCTTTCGTGCCACTGGCATGGAAATTTGCCCAGGTTGTCCTGATTATTCAGCACTCAGGCAGCTGGGCAGGTATCCTGAACAGCACTGCGTGGCCCTGGAAATGGGGAGGTAGCTCAGCAGCAACTACTTGCACTGTGTCTAATCCTGCAGGTATGGGTGGGCACATAGAGAACTATTTAAGACGCTGCTCCTTCTGCAGTGGACAGTTAATGCCCTGGGACTGAGAGCCCCGAGCAGTGCTCATGCCCTACGTATGACTGTACCAAGCCTGGTTCCTTTTCTGAACAGCAGAATTTTTATCTCAGTCCTGCTTACATTAGCTTTATTTTGAATCCTATCTTTCCTGCAGAGCAGGCTGTGTAATCATCATTTCGTAACAATTAATGCTGCTGTTGGAGATGCTGCTGATATCACTAATACCCACCACAGCAGTCCTGTGGGTAGCAGCAGGCTATAGATCCCCCCTTTCTTGACACTCATTTCATTTCTCTTTCTGCCACTGAGATGTTGTCCCCATCAGGGTGTTAGAAGATATTTTATTAGGTATTTAGTTCCTGGGAGAATCAGAATGTCGCTTCTGTATTTCCACCCTCTCATTCTGAAGCCCCAGGAGCTCCCTGTTTTTTCCACTAGTGCATCAAGTCACATTCATGGCTCAGTGCCGTGTTGGAAGGTGTGAACATGGCTGTTTCACTAGGGAGGAATTAGCTGGGCTGGAACTGCAGTCAGAATGTGTGGTGTTCATCAGACCAAAATAGCAGCTTGGGAACACAGCCACATGCTCTGCAGAACCCCCAGTGGCACCATTCATTTAGTGTTGGGTCAGAGAGAAACCAAAGGCATTCCCCATAACACCTCCATCTTCGGGAGGTGCAGCACCCTCTGCTAATCCATGTGGACTCAGCACAGCCATCCCAGCCTGGGCTACAGTGCAGAAAACAGCATCGAACTATTGCAAAGGCACAGTTCCATGGCCAAAGGCAGGATGGACACTGAATAGGAGACATTAATCTCAACTGTGCAGAGGGAGAAAAAGTTGTGGGTTTTTTTATTTGTTTGCTTTTAACCAAATTCTTCTAAGAGCCAGAAACACCAATGCAAACTCAGAATTTCTGATTCCATTTAGAATTGCTCTGATAGTGCTATAGATTGCAGAATAACAGAATCACCTGTGCTTGTAGGTGTAATATTGGGTTATTCGTGGAACCTCCATCTAGCATCTCCTGCCTTTCAGTAGTGTCTTTAAAAGATTCTGAGGCTGATATTAAGTGAAGATTTTCTTTGTATCTAACAAGAAATCACTTGCCAAATTAGTATAGCTTCATGAATCCCTTTGATGAATTAAAAAGTTACATTAAAAAGGTCCTAATTCTGCAACACATTTAAGCATGTTTATTTGTATGCTAAATTCAATTCTGTTCAGCAGAGCACTGAAGATAATAATATTTCCAATGTCCATAAATCCCAATAAATGGTACTACTGAAGTTAATGTGCCCTAAGTCAGATGTGGTGCTAAATTGTGCAGTTGTAGCAGGAAGCTGGTAGGAACATAAAATAACAGTTCCCTGTCCTGGAAATGCCTGCCATCCAAATACAGAGGTAGGACCAAGGTAGAGGAGAAAGCAGCAGAAGGATGCAGTACACAGCTGTAAAGGTTTCTTTGTCAGTCACCTTGCCACATGTGCACTTTGTTCTCGTGGGGTTGGTGTGATGCTGCCAGCACTCAGCCCTTCCTGAGCTCCAGCCCTGTGCACATCTGCACAGCCTTCTCTGTGCCATGCCAGCCCGGTGACAAATCCTGTCTCTGCAGTGCATACATAGACAAAGCCAGCGACACAGCGGAGCAGGTGATTCTGATAGACAGCCAGCTGAACTCTCCGGAAGGGCTGGCGATTGACTGGGTTCATAAGAATATCTACTGGACGGATTCTGGAAACAAGACTATCTCAGTGGCCACTGCAGATGGGAGCAGGAGGAGGACACTTTTTAACAGCGACCTCAGTGAGCCGAGAGCCATTGCTGTTGATCCCACACGGAGGTGAGTGTGAAAAGGAAATGTTGGTGCTTTTCAGACGGAATTCCAGTTGTCTTTCTGCCTCCCACAAAACTCATGTACATCACATGTGCCATAAATTGGATCCTAACGGATTTACTTACATGTCTAAAGATAAGGGCCTCTGTAAGAGCTTACATAGGACTGCTGAGGTGCTTCAAAGAGCTGGTTCAGGTAAATCTCTGCATGGCGGCTGCTGTAAGAGAAAGTTTTGAAAATTATGCTGGGTTGTGAGCCAGGATGGCCTGAGCTCAGGCACTCAGGTTATGTTGGGAAATCACATAAGTATGACAGGAGTGTGGGATAAGCAAAGTCTACACATCTACCACAGACACCAAGAGATAGTTGGGGTTTGATATTCTGGTGTAAGTTCTGTGGCAGAGTAACCTGTGGGACAGGAGCAGGGCAGCTCCACTAAATGCGTATCAAGGTAAACTGAAGTGACCAGGGGCCTTTGCAACATCAAGCAGAGAGCACTGTAACTCTCTCCCCAATCAGTAGTTCAAATTTCTTACCCTGGGGTCCAATTTACTGTCTCCTTGCATCCATCTCTTTTAGGTTCATGTACTGGTCTGACTGGGGAGACAAAGCGAAGATTGAGAAAGCAGGCCTCAATGGTGTGGGGCGGCAAGTGCTGGTGTCTGACAACATTGAGTGGCCAAATGGCATCACGCTTGGTAAGCAGCCGGGTCACAGCTACAGGATCCACTGTGGCTAATGTAAATGTCTAGTAAAGTGGGCAAATGCAGCCGGAGTTAAAGACATCCACGTTTAGCACCACACAGGTGTGAGGTTCTCCACTTGCTGTTATGTTTGAAAATTCTGTCCGTAAAAGGATGTAGGAGAAAATATTACGACTGTTGCATATTGTTGAAGTGCTACTGCTGTGAACAAATAATGTTATCCTTTAGTAATTAAGAAATTAATTAATGGCTTGTTTTATTGCAGAATTTGTTCTTTGTTGGCACTCATCCACTGGCATTCAGTTTAGTGAACCTCATCCAAAATAAGCGGATCTGCTCCAGGAAGAGACATTCAGTTCACAGCATTCTAAATAACACTGGCCCCTTCCCTCCAGCTTTTACCTGCATCCTCCCCAAAATCTTTCTGTTCTGGGGAAGAAAGTTTCCACCATTGCCATTCCCCCAGCCTGCAGCAGAAGGACTCTTGGAACCCAGCATTCTTCATTACAGAACATGTGTTAATCACGCAGCTCCTTCAGAAAGATGTCAGTTTTGAATCCCAGTTGTTATTTTCCAGCAAGAGGCCAACAACTAAATAGGACTGAGTGGCCCTGGAGGAGCACCTCTGGGAAGCCCAAAGTGCAGCTGCCCTGCTGCTTCTGGTACCAAACAACGCTGTCAGTCCAGCATTCACACACACACACACACACACACCAGAATGTTTCTCTTTTTTAATCTTACTTAGAAGATCTTAACCCAGCATATCTGGGCACTGAGTCAAAATCACAACTAGTGTTAAAAAAAAACTTTTAAAAGCCTAATAATAAAGAGATTAGTCATGCTGCCAGCAGGAAAAAAATGCTGGGAAGTGCAAAAGAATTGCAGAAGCTGTGTGTAATTTTGCTTCATTGTGTTTTACTTCTCAGATTTGCTGAATCAGCGTCTCTACTGGGTGGACTCCAAATTGCATTCACTCTCCTGCATTGATTTCAATGGCAGCAACAGAAAAGTTCTGATTTCTTCTGTTGATGATCTGAGCCATCCTTTTGGCTTGGCAGTGTTTGAGGTAAGAGTCAATATCGGGTGAGAAAAGACTGGAGACTGCAAGAGGTCTCAAAGCTCTTCTTGATTGAAAGCTCTGCCTTTTGCATAGCACAGAAAGCTGAGTGAGGGCGTTTGCTGCTATAGTAACTGATTAACCTGGTGTGGGTTCAGCAGGGAAAATAGTTTTCTAAAGCCCTTAATCAGGAGTGATGCATCGCCTCACGCTTTTACCTTACGTAGTACAAGTGAATCCCTGAGGGGCAGGCAGTGCTCGGTTATGGCTCCCACATGACTGCAAAATAGTCATGGCTTTCCCTTGAGGTGGACTGAGCCAAACGCCCGTGCAGAGGCTGAAACTGTTAGCAAGAGACAGGAGAAACCACTTGCTGCGATTAGCAGTGGGCAGCCGTTCACCCAGTGACACTGCAGCATGTCCTGAGTCTGCTGCTGCTGAGTCAGACTTTGAGGGGAGCTGCATGGATCGGCAGCCGCCCAGCCCCCTGCCGAGCACCCTGCTGTTCCCAGCATTTTTGTTTCATGTGCATGCTTGTGTTGCACTTTCCAGCGCTAACAGAATCCTCAGGGGAGGATGGCCCCATAAGTCTGGGGGTCGATTGCTTGCGCTGTCCTCTGGCCATTCCAGTATCTGCAGAAGTGTCCTCAAACATTTTCACCTGTGGCAGGAGTCTGAAGGCTGCAGTGGGCAGTATGTGTGCCAGGCGCTCACAGGGCTCCCCCTGCAGTCACTGAGCACCAGTGCGTTGCTGAGTTGGGGATTTGGCATTCAAAAGGTATTCATTTGTTCACCTAGTTCAGGAGGGCAGATAGTTCACTTTCACTTCAGCTGCTGCTGTTATGACACACAAATCCTGCCAGACATCAGAGCAGTGTCTCCGTACAAAAAACTGCAAGTCTGATCCTACAAAAACATATGCCTATCTTCACAAAGAAGGCTTCTGGCCCCTAATTAAACTTAACAACCCAGTTGCATTCTTGTATGGTTGTAGATTCTTGTAGTACTCATGTTACTCCTGTTTTTAAAAAACCAAAAAGGTGCAGGAACATCCCAAAAGGTCCAGAATTTGGATATAACCAAATTCCTGCTCCCTCAATCTCACAGCGACTCCAAATTATTGAGCACTCCTAAACACTATTGCACTACTGCGCTTTTTAGACATGCAAAAGAAAAGAGCTGCACGTGGAAGTACCATAAAACCAAAGTTATCCCAGCACGGGAAAACAGCGCATTGATTTTTGTGACCACTAGAGTTTAGTCCAGCTTGAGTTGGAACTGGGCAGGGTGGTCAGGTCAGAAATCCTATGTATTTCCTGCAGGACAGAGTGTTCTGGACTGACCTGGAGAATGAAGCAATCTTCAGTGCCAACAGGCTGAGTGGCTTGGACATCTCTGTTTTAGCAGAAAATCTCAATAATCCTCACGACATCGTTGTATTTCATGAATTAAAGCAGCCCAAAGGTAAGACGTGTCTCTCGTGTCCTTAAATCAGATTTATTTGAGCTACTAAATGAACTGCTTCCTGATGGTTTCTGATGAGAGAAAAAGCACAGGTAATAATGTGAAATCAATGCCTGATGTTTGAAGTTCCTGCATAATTAATTCAATAGCAGCACCTACTGAAAAATCTGCCACTTGTTAATTGCTGTTTAATTAGTGTCTTTGATAGCAGAATTACTCTCATTACTGTGATCACTTTCCATTCATTACATATTTAGGCCATACTGCAGCCTGGAAGTGTCACAGCAAGGTGAGCATATGGAGAATGGCACTCAGCACCAGGCTGCTGAGCAAATAACATAAAATACTGCTTCGTGACACCAGGAAGCCAGCTTCTGACCCAGGATAACTGAAGCTCACCCTGAGAAAGTTCAGTGAGGAGTGCATGGCTTGTGTCCATCTGCTGTTACTGTGAGCATGTACAGATGCTCTCCTCACTCAGCAGCATCAGTCCGTGAATGTTCTAAATAATTATTAGTGGCAATCAACAAGCCATTCAGATATCATCTTTATTGTGCAGAATCTGAACCACTGGTTTGTGAATGAGTACATTATGACAAAAGCAGCTGGAGCTGTGTGAGGCTGTTAATTTTTTATTTGCCGATCTCTCCTGAGTTTTTATAGCAGTACGTAAGGTTTTACTCCAAACTGTAAAGATGATTAAGGAGGGCAATTGATCAAGGTAGAGAGTTGAAACAAGTCTTCTTAAGAGGCTTAATGGTTCTTTGCTGAGGGGAAAAAAAAAAAAATAACTTGTCTTTTCTTCTGTCTTTGAATAGCTCCAGACTCCTGTGAGCTCAGCCCCCAGCCAAATGGAGGCTGTGAGTATTTGTGTCTTCCTGCACCTCACATCTCTCCCCACTCCCCCAAGTACACGTGTGCCTGTCCTGACAACATGTGGCTGGGTCCTGACATGAAAAAATGCTACAAAGGTAAATACAATCATATCACTGTTGTGCTGTCCCAATAAAACTGTACTTAATGGTGGAACACACACATTAGCTTTGGAATTCCACATATATTCTGTCTTCTGAACACAGCATTGCACTATTCCTTATTGAAAACCTGTATTATTTTTTGAAAGCATCATCGGGAAAAAAAGAGGGAAAGAAGGGATGATCCCTAGGACTGAAAATGTGGATGGTCAATAAGTGATACACATTTGCCATGTTTCTGCTCTGTAGATACTGGATCGGGAAAGGCCACAATCATTGCTGAAGAGACTGGTGGTTGCAATATAATTTTCCCTGACGTGCAGATAGTTCCTGGTACAAATTCAGTACCTTCTCAAAAAATGAGTACTTTAATTTATTAACCATCTTCCAGACAGAGTACTTCACTACTATTAATTAATTAAAGTTTGATTTCAGAAAAAAAAATTCTGCAGCTGAGATCTATCAGTTCTGTGCTGGGCAAGTAGAACTGGAATTTGATTTCTGTTTCCAACCAGCAAACAACACAATCCACCGTTTCTGATTTGCTGTTTTGTTTCATCATTGCTTTTGCTTTTCAGATCTTCCAACTACTCCAGCTACCACAGTGGTTCCTACAACCACAGCATCTCATCCTGTCACTGCCTCCACTGTGACTGTCACTGGCAGAGCCAACACCACCACCATCATCCCCAGAGCTGTATCAGAAGCCACGACTGCCACCCCGAGTTCTCATTCAACCACATCCATCCTCATCGATTCTGAGATGACCACTGGAAACAGCAACTTGTCACAGCACTGTAAGTGTATGAGATTCTTCTTTTCTTTTTCAATTTATACATTGCCACGAAAACTCATGAACAAGTAGCAGACTGTACCTAACAGCCGAGCTATAGAAGGTCATATGAAGGCACATCTTCTTGCATAGCAGGAGAAATCAGGTATTCTGTATGCAGATGCCTCTGTTCTGATCAGGTGGTTCCCATTGCTCAGGATCTTAGGCCACTCATATCAGGCTTTCATTCCATGTGTGTAAAGCTGACTCTAGAGATAAGGCCCTGCAATATGTATACTTGCCCTGTACTCAATACTAGTCCACCTTGGCTTCAGTGTTGTTTGTAGTGCTGCTGACCTAAATATGAATGATGAAGAATTTATTCTTCAGAACTGTTGTTGAAGACCTCAAACAGATCCAGATTGCTTTAACAGACTAATAGATTAAAATACTTTACTTAAAAAAAACATTTCAATAACTGGAACAGGTTGTTTTCATTGCACTTGGAAAGCAAAAAAAAATAAGCCATCCTGCTTTGACTATGATGCCTCTTTGAAGCAATCAGTGAATTCGCTTTGTAGTGCATGGGGGAAAATAGAATCTGATTTGTAAAATTTGCTCTTGTAAGTCCTGCTTGTGCAAATTTCCTTTCAAATGTAATAATTAACTTAAGCCATAGATGCTAAGTTCTTTTAAGTACCTATGTGAATAGTCTGACCTATTATTAGGTAAATTGTTCCATTACATGACTATCTGCCAAGGGGAATTGTTTAAAAGGATAAATTGCCTTTTAAGTTTCATGAATTGACAAATCTGAAGACAAACTACAGTTAGTTTCCTCCTTCTATATTCCAGCTACTTTAACACAACTATTTTCTGTGCTGATCCCCTATTATTAGAGCTCAGAGCAAACATTTTGAGGTTACTCTTGCATGCTGTAGCAGGCTGCAGCAACCACTGATGTATGTGCTGACCAGCTCCATAGCTGTACGTGGTACGTGCAGATGCACACATGCATGTGCACACAGAGCAGGTACTGCATTCCTAAGAAACAGCTCAGCTCAACCCAGCCCAGCCTTCTGTGTACTTGTGTCTCTTTCTATTCTTCTCCTTGATAATTTAATTCCAAAACTTTTTATGAACTCTTTGGTAACAAATACTTTCTGATGGGCAGAACAACAGCTTACTGCCATAAAGCATTCTTTAGCTGTAGCTTTAAAACCTGTGAATGAGTGAAATATTTCTGTAATTACAGATTCAAATAATGGCCAAGGCTTTGATTCAACTGTGACAGCAGCTGTTATTGGAATTGTCATTCCTGTTGGTAAGCTGATTTGATTTAAATATTGAAGGAGATCATTCTGAAATATTAGTGTAATTAAACTTTTGTGACTCTTAAGATTGGGGGGTGGGAGAAAGTAGAGGAACTGCTGAAATGAGTCTGGATTTGAGACAGTAGTGAAGGATATAGACTTGCCTAGGAACATCTCAGCAGATTCCTCCTTTCTCCACAAAACTGGCTAACAGCAGTTTTTGCCTCCTTTCATCAGTGGTTATTGGCTTGCTGTGCATGGGGGGATACCTCATCTGGAGAAACTGGAAACGGAAGAACACTAAAAGCATGAATTTTGATAATCCAGTATATAGGAAGACAACAGAAGAGGAAGATGAAGATGAAATCCATATTGGTCGGACTGCCCAAATTGGACATGTCTATCCAGCAGTAAGTATCTGAGGAACCTGCTGACACAGATGCATTTTGCTGAGAATTTGGCTTAGAGAATTCTCTCTCACATTGTTGGACACTTGATGTTATTAGTTCTGTTTTTTGTCATTGTATAATTCAGTAATCTCTGACTAGGCAGAAGACTAAACTTATCTTAAAATAGAGTGGTGTGTATAATAAGATGCTGTTTAAATGAAGAGCATCTGTTCTAATCAGTACAGACAGTCTGCTTTATACTTGCTGTCTTTCCATCTCAAGAGCTCAATATGTGACAACTGATGACTTATCTTCTGAAAGGTTCCACGTTGCTCAGACTCCTACCAAGTACCTGAACTATTTTAAGGATAACTTCCATTTCCGTGCAAACCAGGGAGAAATTGTATTTTCCGTATGATAGAACAGTGCAAAAGTCAGATTTCTCACAAGGGGAAGTGTAAGAAGTTAAGGAAATTTGTCTTGGCAACATTAATCTTTACAAAAACGAAATACTCGCTTTGTTAGTAAATCCTTTGTATGCAGAGAAATTGTTGTGCGTGGCAGCTGGTCTGCATTGGAGCTTCCTTCCAAGCAGCAGCCCTGACGAGATGAAGCACTGGCAGTAATAACTGCTTTGTATTTTCAGAAGAGAGAAAGATCTTGAGTGAGTGAAGGTGATAGTTTCTGTAGGAAGGTAGGAACTTAACTAATGCCCTGTATTACCTGAAAGTCACCTAGAAGTGCATCAGTCCTTACAAGGAGCTCTATCCGTGTAATGTACAAGTAAAGTGAACTGTCCAATGCCTCTGTAGTAAAACTTCAGGGAGAGACCTCATTTAGGGGAAAAATCAGTACATGAAATAGTATTTGTCACCATTACATGAAGGCAGCAAAGAGATTTTTAACAGGAAATACAATTTGAAACCAAATTCTGATACTGTTGCTTGTGTATCAGAATTCACAAGTCACAGATTTTCTCCTCAAGTTTGCTTTTCTTCCTTCACAGCGCGTAGCACTGAGCTTAGAAGACGATGGGCTGCCGTAAGCACAAAGTTGCTGCTTCAACCAGAACGCACCGAACAAGTTTTCTTTGGATCACAAAACCTGCTTCTTTATTTGAATCATTATTTATGTTGCAGAAGGGTAACCACAGAGTTATAATGAACTGCAAACATCCAAAGGATGTGAGAGCTTTGTATGTATAATCTTTTATACACATTTTAACTTGTTGCACTACCCATTTGTGATAGTCAATAAGCAACTGCTGAGCTACTAACTCAATGTACATAACCAGCAGGCTGACGGTTCAGTAGCTACTGCTTTATTTTAAGACTATATTTATAGATATTTTGTAAATATACTGAATATGCTTTGTGGCTATCCATCAACATAAGTAAAATAAGTCCTGTACAGACCGTTTAGAAATATTTATTAACAAAATCTGGATTATAAGATCTGATCTGTAAATATAGTAGAGGGGTGAGAGTATTTATTTTTTGTATGTTTGGCTTGCTGTGCATAGATTATCTGTGTATATATCTATCTAGTCTAGATAGATATATAGGCATATAAATATATACATATATATAAATATATACATATATTTTAAAACTACTGGGCTATGTTTATGAAAATTAGGGATAATTGAATTTTTACCAGGTGTCTGAAGTTCACTTTCAAATCTAAAGACGCAAAGAAACAGCTGTACTGTAAGACAGCCAATAAATGACAGCCATAACAAACAGGGCTTCTGTTTCCCAAAGTGGCCTGCAAGGGTTGCTTTCACCTTTTCCAGTTTAGCCAGCTTCACCTGCACTGCTTTGAGCTGTAGAGCTGTTGCTAACAGCATTTCAGGCAGGGGCAGCTCCTACAGTGACCACATTTTTCATTCTGTACTGTTGCTTTTTACAGGTTGGTACAAATCTGATTTTTTTCATTTGTTTCTAACAATAAACCTAAATCTTTTTCCCTCCATTAGGCATCCTGCTCCTCTCACATGCATTTAGAATTAGCAAAAACAAAGGTTGAGACACACTCTTTCAGATACCCAAAGTGAGCACTCAGGAAGGCTCATCAGGAAATAGTCCCACAATAACAGAAGGTAATCCCTTACCTTCTGGATCCTTTCCCCCACTCTTTTCTTCATTGAGAGTCTCAATTTAGGAGGTACTGTGGGGCAGTGTCTTAGTGCAGCATAAGTGGAATTCATTGAAGTGCAGCAGCTGTCATCAAAGCGAATGCCTGCACTGTGGAAGATCTGACATAACAGAGTGTGAGACAAGGTTCAAAACTCACAGCTCTATCAATAGTTGATTCCTGGAATTCAGTGGTATCTGAAAAAAAAAAACAAAACATCACAGAAAAAAGAGGTTGAAAGCATTCTGCTCTGTTAGTAACTGCCTTTCATTCTCTGTGGTTCCCAAACTTTGTTCCTCTCTCTCCTGCAGACCTCAATAGCACTGTTACCATCACCCCATAAGACAGTGAAGAGTCTAAATATGCACCATGTGTCCTAAGAGTTACAATGAACCAAGATTAAAATAGTTGACATAATCCTGCTGCAGAAATAGGCAATAAGGAGTCCAGGCATTCTTAATTTACTCCTTTGATGGCAGAAAGATATATAAATATATTTAAACAGGCTCCTCCTGCAGAAGAACATCACCTTTGTGATGGCCTGGGATTCCAAGATACTGCTTTAGGAAGGAGAAATCAAGAACAGCCTCTTTTCTTGCTAAACTAGCCTCCCTTTTCTACACAGCTACTTCCCCCACCCCTTCAGTTCCAGTAGCTTATTTAAGGTCTGTGCACTGAAATGGAAAACATTAATGTAAGGCTCTGCTCTCAGGTTCACCAAGTTTCCTATCAAACCACAGCAGGTGCCGATTCTTCACCTCAAAGGGCACAAACAGGCAGTTAGGCCAAAAGCAAGGCCTTCTTCCAGCTGGTGTTTTTCACCTGTTCCATGCAGCAGAGAGGACTGTCCAGGTCCTCCTCCCCCTCTCTCTCATTGTGGTACAGATTGCTGGTGTGAGCTGAGGGTAGCAATGTTGTTTGGCAGGGTTGTTCAGAAGACCCTCTGCTTTTCTTAGCTCATGCTGTGAGACTCCCAGGAAGTAGATGAGTTAAGGTGAGTTGGACTTGAATTCTTGACTGAGAAAGGAACAAGGTGTCTAAAGACCTAGGATAGCACTCCCTTGCTTTCACTCAAACTACTCACTTCACAGCCTTTGTAGACAACATCTAAAGAATCAAGCACCCTTCTGTTCAAATTCGAGATTTTAAGGCAGTACAGAAGTGACTGAGATTCTCTGTTACTGTTCCAATGTATGAAGCTGTGTCTGCAAATTCATGCACTGTGTGCATGAAGAAAAACTGAGAGAAGGCTGTATGTGACAACACTGTAACTAACAGACATGTAAATAGATTTGGAAGTTCTACAGTTTTGATACTTTTCTAAGAGGACGTACACACAAACCTGTATAAACCGTGTAAAAAAGGCTGCATTTTTTGTAAATGAACTCAATGTGCAGTGTTGATTTCAACTAAACACCAATTTTTTTTTTTTAAGAAATTATTTTAAATAACAGTTCAGGTTGTTAGGATGATATTTAACATTGTGAACACTTCTGATCCGTCTTGTCATGTTGGAGTTCTGTTAAAGTAAGTTCTTGCTTGGTGCCTTTTGTGTTTCAGTTTTTGGTATGGACAAAAGGACCAGGGAGGGGTGGGGAGGGATCTGCTGTGTAACACGTGCTGTACTTACATGAACAAGGATTACTGAAAACCAAATGAATACGTTTGTAAAACAGTGCACTGTTTCTATAGAAAGATTAAATTTTTTTTATCTGCGCCTACTGAGCTAATTACGTTTTAGCACTGAAAATGCTGTCTCTTAGAACTGGTACTGTACTGCATTTTGGTCTGCCTTTTCCTTAGCTCTTAATTGTTAAAACTGGAAGAGGGGCTTAGGGCCCTGTTGGCATACTTCAGCTGTCCTCTGTGGAATTTCACCATCTGTAGCAGCTACAGCATCATAACAGGAATAACTAAGACAGGTTATGGCCAGCTTTAAGCAAGCAGACTGTTTTGTTCAGCAGAGGGCTGAGACTTGGAAAGTCCCCTCCATCCTAAGTCATTCTACGCACTGCTAAAGCCTTCAGAAGTAGTGTGTATCTTTTCAATTAAAATATTTCAATTAAACATGTTAGGACAGTAATACAGCAGCAAATAGAAGTAATTACCAGAAAAAAAGAGTGCTCCATGTCCAATCTATTGGGTGGCAGCCAGCCCAGGCCAGGTTGGAACCAGAATGGGTCTCAAGGTCCCTTCCTCTCCCTCTCTCCCTCCCTCCCTCTCTCTCTAGATAGATAGATAGATAGATATACCATAGTCCATTTGCACATTAACACACTGGCCAAGTCAAAGCAGTTATTAACAAAACACACTCACTTACTTTGCTGGTCCTGGTGCCCAAACAGCTACAACAGGAGCACTTCAGAGGCAGCTGCAGTTGCTTTGGATGCCCTGGGAACAGCACACAGGTTAACAAAGGTATCCACAAGCCCTGCAGTGCCAGCTTCATGCAGTCAAAGTTTGACACTTGTTGTGGATTATGATGACAACAGCAGAGGTTTCAACTTTGAAGCTGTGTTACTGCAACATCTGGCAACTGATCATTTCCTGGGATTTCTCAGCTAGCACATCAGGACCTGACAACAGAAAAAAAATACAGTCTTCTCAGCAGCAAGACTTGGGAATAGAAATATAAGGCTGTTACAGGGTGGAGGGCATACATAACAAGCAACCTGAAGCTCGTTAAAGTGCAATACAAATTCTGCCTTGTGAGGTAAAGGGATTTCCCACTCCTAAAGACACCCACCCACCATAAATATAGCAAAAAGCTCCTACAATGGAAACTCTGCATTCCACAGCACATAAAGATGGTCTTTAAAATGTTCTTCACACAAGGATGGAGCCTCACCATAGAACACAGGACTCCAACAGGGAACTTCCCTACCAACTCACTGAGTAAATCACATTCAGGATTTTTATCTTAGGAATCTGCCGGACAAGGAATTAACTAGTAATTTATTTTCATGTATTTATTCCCCCTCTGGAACACAGCTGAAAGCACATACATTCATTTATTTTAAGCCATTACAGAGTAAGGGGAATGGAAAACCTTATGGCCAAATGTTCAAGAAAAGCCCCTGAACTAATTGCTATTAAGCACAAACGTGTAAGGTCTAAGCAAAGAGAACACTCTGCAGTAATGCTCAGAAAATACACAGTACTTGCCAATTAAAGCTTATGTACAAGGTTTGATGACAGGAATTCTCTTAAGCTAAATCTAAGCCACTAATAATGAAAATCTGACAGAAGTGATTGGAAATATACACTCTATTATCAGCTAAAGGCATGTGACAGTAACTTTTTCAAACACGTCAGCTCTGCAAGAGAGCAGATGAGGATAAGAGAATCTGGTGCTTTACAGAAAACTCATGATAAACATGGATTTTTAAGTTTCCAACATAACCTTGATCTTCCCATCTTAAGGCCAAACGCAACTAAAAAAGGTACTGAGAAGGTCAACCAGGGTAATCAAACGAGCTTGTGCATCTTTTCAAAGCTTCAACTCAGTGGCAAAGGGAAACAAAATTGAAAAGATAAGCCATATAACACCTATATCTAAAATCTTTATTCCCCGGTGCTTTATTTGCACCATTAATTACTCCCCATTTCTCACAGTACCAGAACTCGAAAGCATGCAGGGACATTTAATCAGATAGCAGGTTCAAAATACATGAAAAAATACTCATGGAATGCATAACTACACTGTGGCATCCTCTGCAGCATTGTCCTGTGAGTACAGGGCTGCCTGTGGCTCATTACAGCATTTCAGCTGCACCTTCTGGACCCTGAGGCAGCAAACTCAGGAAGCTGAAAGCTGGGCACACACAGGGGTAGCCACATACACTGCGTCCTCATCTCTTCTCAGCATCCATTACAAGCTACTGTCAGAAATTAGATAGAGTAGACAGAACAGACTGCTTCAGTACAACACAATCAGGTGAGTAATTTCTTGTATTTGCTTTCCTTCCTGTTTAAATTATCTTATTTTCTACAGACTGCATAGAAATTTCTTTAGAAAATGCAATCACTGAAGCTGAACATTGTCCAAGTGAACAAAGCAGTGCATGGACATCAGAGCAAGCTGGTTCCACTCACAACAGCACCAGGCAATTACACACTGTCCTTCCTCTATGCTTTAATCTTTGCAGCATGAAAAATGAACTCACATCTTCATTAAACATTTTATAACAGGCCCAGATAATTACACGCTAAGAATTCCTGCAAATTTGGTGCAAGAACACATATGGCCTAAGTTTGGCTGTCATTAATCTTACTGAAACTGTTTTAGGCACTTGCAGTTCACAAATATCACTGCTGAATCCAAAAGAAGAAAAAACAAAATGCACGGTTTGGATCTCTCATAAATGAGTGTTGGACTTTTTGCAGGAAAGGTTACATCTCAAATGATTTTGCCACGTTGAGGTTAAGCAGATGTGCACTCCAAACCAGCATGGTAAGAAGTGACGTTTATAAATGAGGTCTAAAATACATTTTTTTTTTCTTCTTTTGGTCATTTAAGAATTATTCAATAAAAACCACTGACAGACTGTCGTTGTGAATGCCTACTTTGTCTTTGCAGACAAGGAGAGAAACACAGGGCAGGGAAGGGACCAGTAAGGTTGTCCCTCTCCTTACCTATCACTGCCAGCCCAGGACACAGCTACAGATCAGCACTGATGACTTTCAGAATCACCACTTTTAGCTGAACAACCACTAAATGCAGAACATTGTTTTTTTTTCCCCTTCAGTTGTGCTATCAGTTTACAGAAGCAGTCCCTATATAGTTTTAATATATTAAGGCACGAACACATTAGAAGAAAAGTCTTCAAACCATGAACACTAGACTCTAAATAACAGATACACAGAGACATGAATGCATCCCAGTGCAAAGACAGGACATGGCCCCACCTGCACCCCTGCATAAGTCACTGAGACACTGACAGAAGCCCCCAGTGATCATGCTGCCCTTGATGACACTGCATTACCATGTACTTTCAGCTACACCGTTACAGAGGGTGGCAAAAGACCATTTCTGGTATCAATGAGGTAAAAGGGACTAGGATCAGGAAACAAACAACAACAACAAACCAGTCAGTAGGAGTTACACATTCCAACAGAGAACCTTCAAGTGTTTCTTTAGTTCACAGGGAACTGAAACAAGGCTCCTCCACGTGCATCTGAAATACAGCTCAAAGCCATTCAAGATGCACTCCTGTTCACAAAAGCAGATGTTTCACCATGCCCAAACTACTTCAGGCCCTGTAGCCAGGGATGATCCAGCCACCGATCATGGATCAAACAATTCCAGATCTGCTACAAAAGGTCACAACTTACCACAAGCAACTTTGTGAGAATACATTCTCTTGAACTCCTCCCACAAGCCTAAAAAAAGACCAATAAACCCCCCCTGCATCAACTCCAGCATTAACTACTCAGTAAGTCACACACAAAACAACAAACCAATGATTTCTGGTTTTCTATTGTGTCTTCAATGTAGAAAGCAGGCATATTTTTGGTATCCACTGCACAGAAAGACTACTCTGAATTAACAGAGGGGAGGGAAAAGGGTAAGGAATGTGACAATATCACAACTGAAGTGGATGGGATATGAGAAAGCAAAATATCCATATTGGAAATAATCACAAAATAACGTAGCCTGCAGTTGCACCACGGACTCGGTAGGTGTTGTGCACAGCAACTGTGTTACCATCCATCCAGTTCTCCCTCTCTGCACAGCAGTCTTGCAGGCCAATTCTGCATTGATTCCTCTGAACTGCAGCTGCACAAACTACCACAGACCATACAAATAGCTCAGGTCTCTAACACGCTCCCTGCTACTACACAGCCAAGGGTCAAACACCCCCTCACATCTCAGCCAAGAAACAACAAAGCAGACTTCACAACCAAGTGCTGCTGTGGTCCCCCTCCCTTTAAAACTCATTGCCATTTAAATTAACAGAAGAACCAGAAGCTTTCTTGAGCAAAGTCATCAATCAATTCCAATCCACTTCTCCAGAAGAATGTAACTGAAGGGGAACTGTGCAGGATACTCACAGAATCACAGAATTGTAGGGGTTGGAAGGGACCTCCAGAGATCATAGAGTCCAACCCCCCTGTAAAGCAGGTTCCCTATAGCAGGTCGCACAGGTCGGCATCCAGGCAGGTCCTGAACATCTCCAGAGAAGGAGACTCCACCACCTCCCTGGGCAGCCTGTTCCAGTGCTCCGTCACCTCACTGTAAAGAAGTTCTTGCACACATTTGTGCAGAACTTCCTATGCTGCAGTTTCCAGCCGTTTCCCCTTGTCCTGTCTGCACTCACCACTGAAAACAGTCTGGCCTCGCCATTCTGCCCCCCACACCTTAGATATTTATAGACCTGGATCAGGTCCCCTCTCAGTCTTTTCTCAAGGCTGAACAGACCCAGCTCACTCAGCCTTTCCTCATAGCAGAGATGCTCCAGGCCCTTCACCATCTTCGTGGCCCTCCGCTGGACTCTCTCCAAGAGATCCCTGTTTTTTTTGTACTGGGGTGCCCAGAACTGGACACAGTACTCCAGATGAGGTCTCACCAGGGCAGAGTAGAGGGGGAGGATCACCTCCCTTGACCTGCTGGCCACGCTCTTTTCAATGCACCCCAGGATGCCATTGGCCCTCTTGGCCACAAGGGCACACTGCTGGCTCATGGCCAACCTGTCGTCCACCAGGACATCCAGGTCC